GAGGCAATCTAGGCTTCTTCTCTATGATTCGAGCCATGGAGAATCTTAAAAAGTCCTAGTTGTCCTCCAGGGTTTTAACCATAGAGAACCTACCTAGAACATAGCCCCCAACATGGTCCCAGCCACAGAACATGTGGTAGAGTGTGATGGATGGAGTGGCACTACATAGGCAGTTACTCTAGTTGTGTCTCAGTGGCAATACGTGGGTTGGGGAACCACACTTTAGGCAGGGTCTCTATGATCAGCGAGTGCATTTTTGTGGAGCCATGGAGAAAGTCAAGGAAGAGAGGCAGGGTGAAGAAAACCATATATGGGATGTGGAAATTTGAGGGATGCACATGAGGAAATTTGAGGTGGAGAGCCAACCAGAGAGAGGGAGGTGTGGTGAAAGGGAAGTCAAGGGGGAATATTTGGGAAGAATTATTGATGCAATAATTGGCAGAGGCCCTGGAGGTTTTTCGCCTTCCTCCGCAGCATGGGGCAGGGGTCGCTGGCTAGAGGATTCTCTGCGATTTGAAGTCTTTAAATCATGATTTGGGGACTTCAACAGCTGAGTCAAGGGAGAGAATTATTCCAGGAGTGGGTGGGTCAGCTTTTGTGGCCTGCATCATGCGGGAGGTCAGACTAGATGATCATAATGGTCCCTTCTGACCTTAAAGTCTATGAGTCTAAATGAAGTGATGCAAATTAAATTATGGAAATGAGGGCATTGTCTTATTTGCATAAACGCTCCAGACTTCTGGGTCTGCCTCCTCAGCAGACACAGTGTACCAAACTGGAAATTCTAGTGCAACAGGAACACAGCAGTTAACAGTGTCAACCAGCTGGCTACTGACCAGTTACAAGTGTCTGTATTATATTAGATTTCCTTACAACTCATTTCAAGTGGGGTTGCATAGTTTCTGACTGGGTAAAGCTTGGAATAAAATATTCTGTAATTAAATTGTGATGAAAAATAATGTTTCTAGATATCCTAATGGACAGTGAGGATTGAGGTGGACAGTGCTTAATCAGAAACATCTGTTCAGCAGGTGGCTGTTCAAATCTGAATAACCATGGCGGTTGCAGAGGGTAAGTATATTCATAAATATACTTGCGTGAATTTGCGAATTGGGGAGTTTTACATACCCTAATATGACTACGTGAGTAGAGGCATGCAAAGGTGATTGTGTTTACCAAGCAGCTTTTATAGATATCTCAAAGCTTATTATTTTAACACTACTTAACAGTTTAATGTTTCTCCTTTTTCTTACATATTGTTACCATGTTGAAACCTTTTAAAAACATAATTAGAACATTAAAATAAACAGCTTTTTTAATTGTATTACTTTACCTTTATTGGTATGGACATCAAGGAAAGAGCAACTTTGTTTCCTAAAGAGATTTCACTTCATGGTACTTATCCCTCATTTGAAGTCCAAATCATCTGTTCACAGGATCATAACTGGTTGTTATGGAAGTCATGTCAGATAATGATGTAGCTGTCACATGTTTTTAATGTACTTCCTTAAGAATTGCTCCACCTTAAGTACACAGTGCTGGTATCCTTCAAATCCCTCTTCCTGTTTTTCAGCCAGGCTTTGTTCCAGTAGTGATGTGTTCCATTGATCATGGCACTTGAAGACCATGGAGGCAGAAAAGAATTAGTGTAGTGGCTGAGTGGAGAGATTTACTGTGAAGATAGGATTTGGTTTAATTGCCCATGTAAGAAGCTATCCATTTTATACTGAGGACAGATTGGGTAATTCAGGGATGGTGGGGGCTGGAGCCTCCAGTGATGGGAAATTAGGATCTTTTATTCAGGAGACATGAGTTCAAATTGGGAGAGAAGATTAGAGGAAGAAATGGAATAAAGGATTGTGGCAGGTGCTGTGAGGGATAAAAAAAGAATCCACAATCCAAAGTCTCTGCAGAGTTTTTCCTCCCCCCTTTGAAAAGCTCTGAAAAGAAAGACAATTACTAGTTGTTGGTTTTTAACTTGTATTTTTATAGTCCGTCATGCGAAGAAAATTCCAGTAAAAAAGCCAATGGAGACAATGGAAACTGCATTGGAGACAGTGTATCATGCCTACCACAATACAATATCCAGGGAATGATCTCTTTTTTCCTGGCAAACACAAAATAACCTTTTCCACGCAGTACCATATCCCTGACATTGAAATACTTTACCCTGTTCATACATAGGGGTTGATGGTACAACTTCTCAGATTCTCGTAGTATGACTGAAATCTCATCATGACACATGGAGAGGTGGGCTACATAGCATAATATTGCAACTAATAGGTGCTCTAGCATCCATGGCACCAGCAACATTGTTTGAGCCCAAATCCCTAGCAAATATTCCATGCTGTACCATCAAGGAGGAATAGAGGGAAGGTGGGAGGTGCCTCAGCTAATTCAATGATTTGCTAAGAGGAAAATAAATGGAGATGCCACAGTAGCCCTTAGAGGAGTTTTCATCCTAATAATGATAAGCCTTAGATTCCCAAAAGCTGTGGGAGGAGATCCGTGCTGAAATGAGAGATTTAGGTAGTAGTGCTATAAGATTTCCTCAATTTTTCGGTGGCTGTTTTCTTTCCCCAATTCAAACACTGTGTCAGAAATGTCTTAGCAATAATGCTTTACTCTGTACTCATGAAATCCATGATGTGGGCCTAGAACTGGGCATTCTCCCATAGGCCTGAACACTCAAAATATATACGAAAAGGACCATACCGGAATATACTGTACAACAACTATATGGTCACTTGCAAAGACCAAGCAGTTACAGTTGCAGCCTCTATAATTGGACTCACTGGATTTTTGACACTGGGAATGGAATATGGCCAGACCTATGAATCCAAATATATCCCTAGAGTAACTCTTTTAACCTGAGTTTATTTGAAGCAGGGACAAATTTGGCAGAGAGGGTTTGGGTGTGACCTCCACAATTCTAATTGCCTGATGGCAGCATTTAAAGCTGACCAGTAACATACTAATATCAGCAGCTAAGGGTCCAATGCCTCTTAAGCAAGACTTAAAAGAGGTGGCAGTCTCTGTTACTGATATACTACCAGAGTTACATCTACTTAAATAATCCTGAGGTTGATACTGAGATGGAGAAAGAGATTTAAATCTGGTGTGAGCAGTGAAGCTCAGCAGGACTCACAACTAGGTGAGCAGTGCATACTGCTGAGAAATCAATGGGAGAGAAGATGTCTTTTATAAAGTCATTAGACTGAGAAAGCAACCTGATCGGCTGATGAGGATTCTGAGCTGTGTGATTATGAGACCCAGCGGTCCTGACAGGGAGCATGCTCATTTGTCATAAAGAAAGTATCATATTCCAGGTGGTTCTAACACAGTATCAATTGCACTTCTCTGTTGCTGGGTACATGCTGCATCGTGGCACTCCTCAGAAGTGTGTATAAATGGGCAGAACCACAAATCCTGTTCTTTATTAACTTGTCTATTCCTCTCACTGTAAGAATACAATTACTACTTCAAAATATCTTCCTGCATAACTTCATTTAGTTGCTTCAATCTCCATTTGTCTATTTTTGATTATAGATATTTGCATTCAGAACAGCTTAGCGCGCCCTTGTCAGAGCCCAGGCAGAACGGGGCAGAGTGTTATATTTAGAGCGGGGCGCTGAGTGGGACAGAGTGTCATACGTAGAGTGGGGGGCAGGGCGAGAGAGTGTGCCATAGGTAGATGTGGTGGCAGAGCGGGAGAGGGGGCCATATGTAGATGTGGTGGCAGGGCGGGAGAGGGGGCCATATGTAGATGTGGTGGCAGGGCGGAAGAGGGGGCCATATGTAGAGTAAGCATCAGAGCGGCACAGAGAGCCATAGGCAGAGAGGGGCACAGAGCGGGACAGAGTGCCATATGCAGACTGAGGCTCAGTATGAGGCAGAGTACCATATGCAGAGCGCAATGTGGAGCTCCGTGCCGAGTAGGATGCAGGGACCCATGTGGAGTTCCACATAGTATGGGAGGCCAAGCCCCTCGCAGAGCGGGACACTGTGTTGCATGAAGGGCCCCACTTGGAGCCACACACAGAGCGGGCCGTTGGGACACTCACAGAGCGGGCCGTGGGGCGAGACACTGGGGCACACACGGAGCGGGCTGCAAAGCGAGACACTGGGGCGCATACCGAGCGGGCCACTGGGGGGCTCAAAGATTGGGATGCAAAGCGAGACACTGGGGCACACACAGAGCCAGACACAGACTGAGACATTGGGCCACACGTGGGGTGAGACACTGGAGCAGGCATGGAGCCACACGCAGCTTCAGTCATTGGGACACTCGTGGAGTAGGACGATGGAGTGGGCCCAGAGCTACAAACAGCTGAAGGCATTTGGAGACTCATGGCATAAGATGGTGGAGCGGGCACAGAGCCACCCATAGCTGGAGGCATTTGGAGACTCATGGCGTAGGATGGGGGAGTGGGCATAGAGCCACACATGCCTTGAACCACTGGGGCACACACGGGGTAGGATGCTGGAGTGGGAAGAGAGCCATACATGCCTTGAACCACTTGGGCAGACATGGGGTGGGATGCTGGAGCGGACCTGGGATCACTCATAGAAAAAGAAACCGGGACTCCCAAGAGGCGGGACACATTGTCACACACAGAGCGGGACACACTGTCACTCATGGAGTAGGGGGCACTGGCAGCCGCAGCACGGTACACAGACTCGCACATGGGGTGGCCAACAGGGAGGCACACATAATCATATATGAGGGGGCCACCAGAGTCACCCGCAGGGCCGTACGCAGAGTTGCACACAGGGATGCACACATAGTCGCACGCAGACTGGGGGTCGGAGTCGCACACAACCTGTGGGGCAGAGCTACACTCAATCTGGGGGGCAGAGCCACACACAGTCTGTGGGGCAGAGCCGCACACAACCTGTGGGGCAGAGCCGCACACAACCTGGGGGGCAGGGCCGCACACAACCTGGGGGGCAGGGCCGCACACAAC